ATAATAGTCAAGCTTGTAGTGACATCAGTTAGGTTTTCTAGACATATAGAGATATATTTCAGATGGATAGATATTCTTCAGATCTTTCAAAGTCTACAGAATATGGTATTAAAAATGTTTTAAGAACTTAGAACTTTTCATGACAATGAGACACATTTGCTCCTGGCAACATCAAGCTACTTCAAACGGATGATAGGTATTGAAGAGGCTCCTTAAGGAGTTTGTTAGCCATTTTGGAAGAAACTGTTCTTGCCTGGACTGCTTGATGTTATGTTGTATGAAATGGACATGCAGAACCCACAGAAAAATGACTGTTGAATTTGCCTAAAGGTGAAACTGTACTTTGGGGTGCCTGCTTCATGAAAGAGTCTGTCAGACATTCTGCAGGATACAGAAGAAAGCAACTGATGAACTTTGTCAATACAAGGCATAAGAGATCTTCAAATTTCCTGTTTCATGGAAAAGTCTGCCAGATACTATGAGCCTGTAGGCTGAAGGTGGGTGCCCCAATGTTACAAAAGAACTTTGGGTAACTGTCCAGGCAGTAAGACGTCTCTGTCACTTTTAGAGTTTTGGAAGTTGTTTACAACGCACTTCCTGTTTACTTAGGTAATATTATATCCTTCTGGAGTCTTTGATGGAGTTGAAGAACAGATAGTTATAAGTATAGTTTTCCTTAGTTATAATAAAAGATAAAGTAGATATAAATATTGTTACTGTAATTTTTGCTTGATACCTGTTTTGTTAAATATAATTTTACCATGTTAAAGTTAAAATATTCCTTTTTATTTAAACAGAAAAGGGGAAATAGTGTGGGTAGTCCTTCTGTATATGTGTTGCTTTTATTGGTTAATGAATAAAGCTGCTTTTGGCCAATGACTTAACAGAGTAAAACCATGTGTGAAATCCAAACAGAGATGTAACAAGAGTGTGGGTGGAGTTGAGGAGTAGCCATATAGTCACAGCAGGAGAAAGATGTCCCTACCAGAGCCCACTGAAACTTTGCTGGTAGGCTATGACCAGGAGACGGGTTAATTTAAGATATAAGAGCTAGCTAGAAATACCCTTAAGCTATTGACCAAACTATTGCAAATAATATAGTTTCTGTGTGATTATTTCAGGTCTGAGCAGCCAGGAATGAAGGAATAGCCTCCAACAACAAGAAAGTACCACACAGTGAAAGGGCAGTCAAAGGAATAAACAGGGACATCCCATCCATTCATAAAGAACCATCTTCCTTGATTGCATCATTGATCCATTCATGAGAGCCAAGCCTGCATAGCTTAATCGCCCTAACAATTCTGCATTGGGAATGAAACTTACACACCTGCTTTTTGAGCTACACATATAAACCATAGTAAGTGTTTACCAAATTCACAATGTCCACCAAAGTTAGAAGAAACCCTCCTTTTAAAGCAATGAAATAAACAAGAATTACTATTAGTTCATACAGGGACATCTCACACTATGCCAGAAAAGATGCCCCATGCTACCACATGGTGTGCACTGAGATGAAACATTGCCTCTTAGAAATGGAGAGCTGTCACCTGCAAATAAACCTGTCTTGGGTGGGGGAGCAAAGCCCCAACACCAAGGAAAAGCATCCTTCAGTATAACAAGAATGTTTGAATACATTAGGCAGCGATGGTATGCTGTGTGAAAGGGTGGGTGGGAGTCAATGGACTGTGGGAGGTTTGCTTATTTCACATTCGACATGCAGTTTTGGAGATAAGGGTGCCATTTTTCTAAGAGAGAAAAAGAAAAGCTCATGTATAACCTGCCTCTCAAAACAATAAGTACGGCTGACATTTGGGTGTATTTCACACACCTCCAGAAGAGAAAAATCTTGGTTAATTTAAGATCAGAAGGGGTCTTTGTTCTCTGGTATGTATATTAAAGCCCACAGGTATTTTCCAGAGAGGAGATAACAAGCTCTCTACAGCAGTGATTCTCAATCTGTTCATCACGACCCCTACAGGGGGTCACATATCAGATATCCTGCATATTAGATATTTACATTATAATTCATAACAGTAGCAAAATTATAGTTATGAAGTAGCAGCAAAATAATTTTATGATTGGGGTCACTATGCAATGAGGAACTGTATTAAATTTGCAGCAATAGGAAAGTTGAGAACTATTCCACAGGGTTCTAGAAGACCCATTGTGTGGTCTAGGCTACACCACTCATCAGTTGTGTGGCTTTGGAGGAGTCAATAACATCCCAAGATTCATAATTCTTTTTTATAAAATAAGAGTCACAGTGATATTGAAGAGAGATGCTAGACCATCACAAAAGAGCCTATTAAAGTCACTTCATGTCACTGGTAGCTTCAGTTGCCAACTTGATACACCTAGGAGGGACCCTCACTTGAAAAATTGCCTCCGTGGGTTGGCCTGTGGTCCATGTCTATGGGGCATTTTTCTTAGTTGCTAATTGAAGTAGGAGGACCTATCCCGCTGTGGGCGGTGCCACCATGATCAGGAGGCCTTGTGTTGTACAAAAGCACAGGCTGAGCAAGCCATGGAGAACAAGCCAGCAAGCAGTGTTCCTTAATGGTCTCTGTATCAGTTCCTGCTTCAGGTTCTTGCCTGACTTCCATCAGTGATGGAGTATAACCCATGAGCTAAAATAAATCCCTTTATTTGATTTAGTCAAAACTGACTAAAAGTTAGTTTTGGTCAGTGTTCTAGCACAGCAATAGGAAGCAAATTGAAATGTCAAAGTGATACATTGTGTAAATGACATTTGAAAAATAACCATAGACTTTTATGAACTTCCATTTATGATGGCACTAGGTGCTAAAGTCTCTCACAAATGATACTTTTCAGATACAATGGAACTTTTGTGGGCTTTGTGATTCATCCTTTAATTTAAAAGATTCTTTTTACAGCCCATGACGTCTCAGCCTTCTTAGTTTCCACTGATTATTGGCTTTTATTTGTCTGGGTATCTATTTATCTAGCATTTATGAGGCTGTCAGTTGGCATGTTTTTCTTTTCTTTCTCATTATAAGAAGTTTCACACTTATTGCAAAAATAGAGATTATGGAATAACAGGCCCCATTTCCATCACTCAGCTTCAGTGATTATCAGCCCAGCACCAGTATTCTTCCTCTGTAGTTTTTACCCACTCTTTCCCACCCATTACAGGTGACTGAAGAGAAAAATCCACCAATTTTTGTCACTTCTTCCCTAAACACTTCAGGCTGGGCCTCTGCAAAAGAAGGAATCTTTAAAAAATCTACCAACAATTCTTTAAGTATATAAAATAACCAATTTGTTCTCAAAATTCCCTGGTGATTCATATAGTTTTTATAGTTTGCTTGAATTAAAGTATAAAATTCATATATTGTGATAAATTGATATCATGCTTAAGTCACCTTTATTGTGCTAATTTCCTGTCAATCAAAGTCTTTTCCTTTGTAATGTATCTGTTGGAGGATCTGGGTCATTGGTCTTCGAGAGTTCATCACACTTTGGGTTTTGCCAATAGAACTTATTGTGGTACATGCTAGCAAACTTTGTTTGTATATTTATTTACCTATTTGTCCATTGATTTATTGTTTATTTAGTTTTATAAATTGGCAGTTAGCTCTAGAAGCTTGCTTATGTTCGGGTTCCATTTCTTTTCAAAGGCAGTCCCACCGGTGGTTCTGTTTTCATCAGAGTCAGCAGTATTCACGTCTGCATGCGATGCTGCAGACGCCAATGCTCACTGTCTAGATTCATGAATTTATTGGAGTTGGCAAGATGTTCATATGCTAATTCAGTCCTGCCGCTTTCACTTATTAGCTAGAATACATCTATAAATGGATAATTCCCTCCATCAACTCTGTAGTTACCCTGAGGGATCGTTCATTTAGGAAAAACAAGATAAATGCTTGATTATCTCTCTTTTTACCATTTTCTGAGATAATTAGTTGGTTAATTTGTGTCTTCCAACGGTGACTAGTTTATTCTTGATTTTTAAAAACTCATGGATTTAAGGATATTTGGTGTCTTTCATCCATCTCAGCCATTATCATTATTGAAGCTCATATCACCTTTCTTTGGCTGGTGGGGACATCTTGAAGCTTTCTCCTGAGTCCTTTTGACATTATGCTAGAGGCCCTTGAGAGTTTTCTTGCTATTGAAGTTTGAGGAAATGTCCCCAAATTGTCTTATACAGATCCTGCCCCAGACTTGTCATCAAGTGTTTCTCCAAGGATTTCCGGATTCATTTAGTGGAAAAATTGGCATCCACAGAACTCTATGCCATGCTTTTGCCCTTGTTTCTAGGCCTTCTTAATGGGCAGAACCAAGGAAACATGAATGCATATGTAAATATATTTAAGATTAAATTATTGTGAGTTAATTCCGCTGCCACCTACTCAGATTTAGGGTTATAGGATTTTACTTAGCCTCATTGATCATCTGTCTATATGCCTTTTCTCCCTTACTGAATTCATCAGTTTCCACTGTCACCACACAATTACTCATGTGCTTTATTGCAACACACACACACACACACACACACACACCCCTGCCAAAGCATAACAGTGTAAAAAGCACCACCAACTCCATGATGAAAACACTTACACATGAGTTTAACAATTATTGGGTGGATGCATTTGGGAGAACAGGCAGGACTGTAATTGCAAATGTGAGGCCATCCAGGACTGAAGCAAGGATTTAACAACAGCAGCAGCAGCAGCAGCAGCAGCAGCAGCAGCAGCAGCAACAGCAACCAAAGGTAGGGTGGAAAGAACTGAAGAGCCAGAGGACAGGGAAGAATGACATCAGGAAGTGCAAACGCTGCCATCTACATATGACATTGTCATCGCACACGGCACACAGCTGCTATGGACATCTCCACAGAATGGGCCCTGAAACATTCCGTCATGGATAGAGCGGCATCCATGAGGCTCCAGCACTCTCTGAAGAGCTACGAACTGCTATGATCACTTCATTAAAAGTATTTTCTTCCTCTTCTTCTTCTTTTTTCCTGGTTGTGCAGCCAATGAAGTGGAGAAGTGCAAAGGAATAGGAAGGGAGATACCAGATGGCAATGGGGGCCGGTGAATATAATCACAGTAAGTTATTATATATGCTTTAAATTGTCAAAAATAAGGAAGAATTTAAACAAAACCATAGAAATTGTATGAATAAACAAAGCAAAAAAATTTTATAGTTCTCTTTTTAGGATATATTCCTCCAGGGATCAGAGACTCTCTAGGCAATTATTCCAGCCACTAAATGGAGTTAGGTTTACTTGCTTTATTTACATTTTGATGTTTAGGTATTACTTTTTAAAATTTATTTTTTTCTCACATATAATATTTACAAGGTTCCAAAATTAAATTTATAAAGCAAGGTATATTGAGAGAATACTTTGTGTGTGTGTGTGTGTGTGTATTTTTGTTTCAATGATTATGTATGTATGTATGTATGTGTGTATATATCTATCATTTATTTATTTTATACCCTGACCACATTTCCCATCCCTCCTCTTCTCCTATTTCCTTCTTTCCCTTCCCCTCCTCTCCCCCCAAACCCCTCCTCCTCTGCTTCTGTTCATGAAAGGTCAGGCCTCCCATGGCATATCATATCATATCAAAGCATAGCATATCAAGCTGCTGTAAGACTAAGTACCTCCCCCTGTATTAAGGCTGGGGCAGGCAATCAAGTATGAAGAATAGGTTCCCAAGAGTCAGCCAAAGCATTGTTAGGAATCCCACAAGTAGACCAAGCTATACAACTATCACATATGTGTAGAGGGTGTAGGTCAGTTCCATGCATGCTCCCTGGTTGTTGGTTCAGTTGTGAAAACCTATGAGCCAGGTTGGTTGTTTCTGTGGATTTTATTGTGATGTTCTTGACCCCTCTAGCTCTATAATTCTTCCTTCCTCTCTTCAACACGATTCCCTCAAACTTGGCCTAATGAGGATCTTTGCCTCTGTTTTCATCAGTTACTGAATGAAGACTCTCTGATGACAACTGGAGTAGTTACCAATCTGATCACAGGAGATGACCAGTTCAGACTATGCATCCACTATTGCTAGGAGTCTTAGCTGGGGTCATCCTTGTAAATTCGTGGGAATTTCCCTTGCATCAGGTTTCTACTTGATCCCCAAATGCCCCCCTTTCTAGTATCTCCCCTTCTATCCACCCTCTAACCAGACTCCTCAAGTTCCCATCCCCACCTGCTGCCAGTCCACCCTGGAGATCTCTATTTTCCCTTCCCAGGGAGATCCGTGCATCCGTCCTTGGTCACTTCTTGAAAACTAGGCTCTCTGGGTCTGTGGATTGTCTTGTAATTATCCTTTACTTTACAGCTAATATCCACTTATGAGTGAGGACATACCATGTTTGTCTTTCTCAGTCTAGGTTACCTCACTCAGAATGATTTTTTTTCTAGTTTCACCAATTTGAGTTCAAATTTCTAGATGCCATTGTTTTTTAACAGGTAAGAAATACTCCACTGTGTAAATGTACTACATTTTCTTTATCCATTCTTCAGTTGAGGGACATCTAGGTTGTTTCCATGTTCTGGATATTATGAATAATGCTGCTATGAATATAGTTGAGTAAGTGTCCTTGTGGTATGATAGTGCATCCTTTGGGTATATGCCCAAGTGGTATAACTGGATTTTGAGGTAGATTGATTTCCATTTTTCTGAGAACCTGCCATAATGATTTCCAAAGAAGCTGTACAAGTTTGCACTCCCACCAGCAATGGAGGAGTATTTACTTTGCTCCACATCCTCACCAGCATAAGCTGTCATTTGTGTTTTTGATCTTAGCCCTTTTAAGATGAAATCTCAGAGTCATTTTGATATGTATTTCCCTGATGGCTAAGGATGTTGAACATTTTTGTATGTATTTCTCTGTTTTTTTTTCTTTTTGAGAGATACTTCTGTTGAGAATTCTCTGTTTAGGTGTATACCCCATTTTAATTGGAATATTCGGGGTTTTTTTGATGTCTAGTATCTTGAATATATGTATGTTGGGGATCAATTCTCTGTTGGATATGGGGTTGGTGAAGAATTTTTCCTATTTTGTAGGCTGCTGTTTTGTCCTATTGACGACGTCCTTTGCCTTATAAAGCTTTCAGTTTCATGACATCCCATTTATTAAGTGTTGATCTTAGTGTCTGTGCTATAGGTGTTCTATTCAGAAAGTTGTCTCTTTTCTCTTGTGCCGATGTGTTCAAGGCTATTCCTCACTTTCTCTTCTGTCAGATTCAGTGTAACTGGATTTATGTTGAGGCATTTGATTCACTTGGACTTGAGTTTTGTGCAGGGTGTTAGTTAGGGATCTATGTGCATTCTCTACATGCCAACATCCAGTTATACCAGTATCATTTGTTGGAGATGCTTTCTTTTTTCCAATGTATAATTTTGGCTTCTTTGTTAAAAAAATCAAGTGTCTATAGGTGTGTGGATTTATGTCTGAATCTTTGGTTGAATTTCACTGATCCACTTGCCTGTTTTTATTCCAATACCATGCTGTTTTTATTACTATAGCTCAAACAGTAGAGCTTGAGATTGGGGTGGTGATACCTCCAGGAGTTCTTTTATTGTACAGGATTGTTTTAGCTATCGTGGTTTTTGTTTTTCCATATGAACTTGAGTACTGTTTTTTCAAGGTGTGCAAAGAATTGTGTTGGAATTTTTATGGAAATTGCTTCGAATCTGTAGATTGCTTTTGGTAAGATGGCCATTTTTACTATAGTAATCCTACCAATTCATGAGCATGAGAGATCTTTCCATCTTCTGATATCTTCTCCAATATCTTTCTTCAAAGACTTTAAATTCTTGTCATACAGGTCCTTTACTTGCTTGGTTAGAGTTACCAAAGATATTATTGTGTGTGGCTATTGTGAAGAGTTTTGCTTCTCTGATGTCCTTCTCAGCTCTTTTATCATTTGTCTACAAGATGACTACTGACTTTTTTGAGTTACTCTTGTATCCAGCTACTTCACTAAAGGTGTTTACCGGCTCTAGGAGTTCCCTGGTAGAAATTTTTAAAGTCACTTACATATACTGTCACATCATCTGCAAGTAGCAGTACTTTGACTTCTTATTTTTCAATTTGTATCCCCTTGACCTCCTTTGCTATCTTATTGCTATAGCTAGAACTTCAAGTACTATATTGAATAGATATGGAGAGAGTAGACAACCTTGTCTCATTCCTGATTGTAGTGAAATTTCTTTGAGTTTCTCATCATTTAATTTGATGTTGGCTGTTGGGTTACTATATATTACTTTTATTATATTTAGGTATGTCCCTTGTATTCCTGATCTTGAGGGAATACTTTAAAGACTTTAAATCTCTGAGAAACATTTCTACACTCCTATAAACATGCTTTTTGTATATGGTAGCATAATATATATTTTCTACATTGCTTTTGCACTTATTTTAGCCTAGAGATTCCTCTATAACAATTAAAAAACTTAATACTCCTCTTCTTTTAATTTATTTAAAAAACTACCTTTTCTCATTTTACATGCCAAATCCATTTCCCACTCCCTCCCCTTCTCCTGTTCCCTCCACCTTTTCTCTCCCACTCCCCATTACACGCCCCCATCCACTCCTCAGAGAGGATAAGGTTTTCCGTGGGGAGTCTACAAAGACTTGCACATTGCTTTGAGGCAGGACCAAGGTCCTCCCCCTATATCTAGGCTGAGAAAAGTATCCCTACAGAGAAAATGGGTTTCAAAAAGGCAGAACAAGCAGTAGGGATAAGTCCTGGTCTCACTGCCAGTGGCCCCCTAGTCTACCCTAGCCATACAACTGTCACCCACATCCAGAGGTCCTAGTTTGATCCTAAGCTGATTCCCTCACTGTAAGACCAGAGTTGGAAGGCCTCCATTAGCTCTGGTAAGCTGTTTCATTGTGTATCACCACCATGGTCTTGACCTCTCCTTCTCTCTCTCTCTTCAAATGGACTTTGGGAGCTCAGCCCAGAACACTGTGGTTCTCTGCATCTGCTTCCATCAGTTGCTGGTGTAGGTTCTATGGTGACATTTAAGATAGTCATCAATCTGATTACTTCTCTTTTTTTTTGTCGATGACAAAATTTATTGCATATACTATTCTGCCTGTCTCTAAAGGTTTCCCTTCTAACTAAGGATTGAGACTTTGAACCTTGGAGAACCACCTGTATCCAAGATTTGTGTTTTATTACAGAGTTAACAGGTTCTGTCTGCATCAGGACTCAAGGTGCCTTATGGAGTGAATGGGTCCCTCATTTCTGATAGGTATCCTAGCTTCTGCCCTTTGTTGTTCAACAGCAGTGAGTTGGATCAGTCTTTCAGACGCTTCACAATGAGCCCAACAGTCACTGCAGCAGCGGGAAGGACCAGATCCCCATATCCATGGGACCCAATCCTTCAGGTGCACAAAGGTAGAGTCTGAAAGCTCTTACTTCACTGTTGCAGAGCATTTTGGGAAACTGTGGTGTTGGGGCAGCATGGGAGCTTGAGGATAAAGCACCTTTTGGCAGGTGGATCTTAATGAAGGCTGCTCTAAAAGCCAAAAGTCAGTTATTCACTTTCCAACCACGGAATACTTTTATTTATTGGTTGATTGATTCATCCAATGATACACTTATGTAATTTACAGAACATTTTAGCATCTACCATGTCCAGAAACCATGCCGAAAATGAGGAACTTAACTTCTGCTTCCTAGCCTATCAGTATCTTTTCCCTTCTTGGAATATCTCATAGGAACCAGTCATTCTCATCCCAGAATGCCAGGTGTTCCTTCCACAGATGCATCTTTAAATTCAGAAAGTGGTGAGGGCTTGGCCAGTGTTTTTCTGTGCTCATTCAGATGCAAGGACACTGCATACTTCCAATCATGTGTCCTTAGTTCATCCTCCTAAAAGCGATTGCTTTTCATAGTTAAATCGGGAATGGACTCAGGTCAAATATATCCAGGTCTTCATGCATAAAACACTCAGGCATTTTAAGAATGGAAGCGTTTATGGGTTAATAATGTAGTTGTTTGTGTCATGGAAATAATTGGTCCCTTTTCTAAATATACACCGTTTTCTCACAGCTGACAGGCCATTCAATCCTGGGACCCAGTTGGCCTCCTCCTCTGTAAACCTGCTCTTTTCTGTCCCCCGACAAAATATGAATGGGCTCAGCAGAGGTCTGCTGTGCAGTGCTGGAGTTTTCTGCTTAAAACGCTTTTCTCTTAAGGGTTTTTACAAGTTGCTCTCTATATACCTGCAGGCTGCATTATTTAACGTCATCTGATTACTGCACCCAAAGGAGATACTATAAAGAGGGAGCCCATGAAGGAGTAGACCAGCAGAAGCCAAAGCACACTTACCAGGATGGGAGGGGAGCAGGGCACTCAAAGTTGTGTGCATATGTACAACCTGTATTTAAATGCTGTGACGCATTCCCACATCTATAAAAAGACAGTCCCCCCATCCTCGTGTGTGTACATATACATGTTCACAGCACACAGCATACACACATGCATCACAGTCATATACACAAGTACACATTCATTTGTATGTCCATCCATACATTCACACGGCCACTACTTACTGCAGACAGCCACAGTTACACATTCACCTACTTGTATCTACACACATAAGCGTGTATACTTATGCATACACACATACAAAATGCTCACACAAACCCCTATACACACTTGCACGCAGATTCAGACCAACACTTGTGCCTTTCTTTATTTTTATGGAAGGTTGAAATGATCATTTAAGATGAAACCTGCCCAATTCTCCCAACACTATCCTCTTTACTGTGGTCCAATACTGGGCTCCTGTATGGAAACTCTATTACCATTATTTTTGTTCTGGGTTTCTTTACTAGACAGCAAGTAGACTCAAGGGACTAGTTTTCGAAACAAATCTTAGCCCCTAAGAATCTGAGAATTCAGGAATCACATTTTAGAATCTCTGCTCCTTATCTAGGTAAAGTAAAGTAAAGAGAGGGTCCAAGACTTACCCAAGGTCTCTACACTCTTGTCCAAGGTCAACGGAGGCGAGCATACCCTGGAAGCTGTTTCATTGTGTGTCCCCATCACGGTCTTGACATCTTCCCCTCTCTCTTCAAATGGACCAAACCACTCTGGTTAAAACTGAGTGACTCGCTTGCTTGCTCCTCCCAGGTAAAGACTCTTCTTGTTTACTTCCTGGACATTCTCCACTGTTAATGAATCCTTTAATCAAACTCATTAATCGTGTTTTTCATTATCTAAAATGACCCTTGGAATAAAGCCCCCTACATTGTTCAGAGGAAGGCGCTGTATATTTTGTATCTCATTTATCAAACTTTTATGAAATAGCAATCGTGTGCATGCTTCATGAGCCAAGCATGCTCTGAAATTGCTGGGAATGTCATTTTTCTGAGCACTATTTCATTGCTGCCTGTCTGAGTGACAGAAAACGAAGCTGATTGAACAAGTGAGACCCAGGCTTCAGAGAGGAAATTAGAGAACAGTTTGCCTAATGCAGATCTTTGCCCAGGAAAGACAGGAATTAGAATGAGCTTTTTCGCTGGACGAGAAGGGTTTAAAATTTTGGCCCTCAGATCTCATCAAGATTACCCCCAAAAGGGAGGCATTAATTGTGGTCACATCAGAGTTAACTGTTCCTTGAATATCCCACATCTAGAACTTTCCTTTGTAGCTTTTCCTTCTCACATGCTCTGAAGGAGTTGGAGATGCGAGGGTTCTTTTTTCCCTAGACTTTCTATTGTGACTTCTGGATTGCAGTCCAACATGCCAAAAGTGGAAGTCACCACTCCATCCCAAGAAGTAGAAAGCTGAACTGGTGTGGAAGGTCCTTCTGTATATATGCTGCTTTTATTGGTTAATAAATAAAGAAACTATCTTGGGCCTGCACATGGCAGAATAGAGCTAGGCAGGGAAAACTAAACTGAAGGCTGGGAGGAAGAAGGCAGAGTCAGAGAGAAGCCATGTAGCCCTGCCAGAGACAGATGCTGAAACTTTACCCCATAAGCCACAGACGCGTGGCAATATACAGATTAATGAAGATGGGTTAATTTAAGATATGAGTTAGCCAGAAATACACTTAAGCTATTGGCCAAGCAGTATTGCAAATAATATGGTTTCTGTGTGATTATTTCAGGAGTCTGGGCAGCCGGGAAATGAACAAGGCGCCTCCTACTACGCTGAACAATATGAAAAACAACACCTTTTCTTGGCTATGTGATGGGAGATGACAGGACCACAAGTGGGAAGACTTGCAAGTGGGGCAGAATTACAGCTTACCAAACAGAACCCCATGTTCAGAAATTGCCGAGGGAACCAGGATCTGGGTGAACAGATATGGGTGTCAGTGGTGCGACGTTAGGGGTTCAACACGGGCAAACATGAGAAAATAAAAACTTCAAGAGAACCCAGACATAGGAAAGCTCAGAACATTCATGAGTTTTGGTTCCTGGAGATCTCTACTATGCTCCCACCATGAATGCTGCAGAAAAAGTTTCCAACGTTTTTGTTGGCGAGACAGGAAAGAAACCGTTTTGTTGGCAGCCAGACTCTGTTTCTAACAAAAGAGCCCGATTGGTTTATGTTTCCTTTTTCATCCTGTCTTTATTTATCTGAATTTTCTCCCTCTTTTTATATCTTAATCACATCTAGCTGTGGGTTTTTTTTTTAAATCAATAACACAAAGGGGACTGGCTGACTTCAGCTCTTGATGACTTTGTTAGCTGCTTGTTTGTTTTGCTACTGTGACCAAGTTTCATACTGAAGAGCTGTGTAAGGAAGAGAGAGAGAAAGAGTTTATTGTGGTTTATGGTTCCAGAGATCTAGAGTCCACAACGGCAGGAAAGGCATGGCAGAGCAGCAAGAGCAAAAGACTAGGTGGGCCGAGGCTACAGACCTTCAAGGCAAGCCCCAGTGACCCAGTCTTCCATCAAGGCTCCACCTTCTAAGGGTTCCATAACCTCTCAAAGCAGGTCCAACACCTGGAGACCAAGGATTCCAATGAATGAGCTCATAGAGGACATTTCCCATTCGAAGCTTCATGCTAGCCTCTCACGAAGGGGAAGGTACTCAATTCCAGACCATTAAAGCCATAATGTTCTACCAAAGGGAGAAGGAAAATGAAAACCATGGACCTCAGCAGCCCAGTGGGCCGGTTCACTGAAAGACCTGGTTATAAACTCTTAGATTATTCCCCACAACCCACAACTTATCACAGCACTCAGGATGTCAGGAGCAGCTGAAAAGAGAAAGTGTGAAGAAAGAAGAGTTGACGACAGCCTCCTGCCATGGGGATGCTAGAAGGTCAGAAAGAAGTTTAAATTATAATTCAAATACTAGGGTCATTAATGAGTGAAGTAGACAGCATACAAGAACAAATTGGCAATGTAAGCAGAGAGATGGATTTTTTTTTAAAAAAAAGAACTGAAAGAGAAATGCTAAAATAACACTGCAACAGACAGATGACATACTAGAGATAACATGCCATAACAGAAAGGCTAGACTTGACATCCTGCAGCAGAAATGCTAGAACACACTGCAACGCACATGCTAGACACAACACACTGCAGGAGAAATACCAGAGATAAAACACTGCAACAGGCATGCCAGAGATAATCCACCGTAGGAGGCGTGCTAGAGATAACATATTGCAGTAGACATGTGAGAGGCAGCACCGCAGCACAAATGCCAGCGAACATGCTGCAACATGAGTGCAGAGATAAAACCCCGTGCCCAACTTAGCTTTCCAGGTACTGTGATAAGCACTGTGAGCAAGAGAAATCAGAGGAGATAGGGTTGATTTCATTTACGAGTTACAACACATCTTCAAGGGAAGCCGAGTCAGGACTTCAAGCAGAAACTGAGAGGCAGGAACTGACATGGAGGCCCTGGGGAAACACTGCCTACTGGCTTGCCTTCTATAGCTTGTTCAGCTTGCTTTCTTATACGATCTTGGACTGCCTACCGAGGGGTGACACCACCCCCAGTGGGCTAGGCCACCCTGCACCAGTCATTAACCAAGAAAAAAGGTCTATGGACTTACTCAAAGGACAATTTTTTTGGGGGGGGGAGTCTCAAGTGAAGTTCCTTCTTCTCTGATGACCCCAGTTTGTGACAGTTTGCAAAACACTAACCAGCACAGTTGACTGTTTTTCAACTTGAAACACGTACCACAGTTAAACCATAGACTTTTATTTCTTGACAATCCTCAGGGTCCTATTTTAATATCAATGCCAAACAGTATAGCTTAGTTTGAAATTTCAATGATTTAAAAGTCTGTGTTTTCTTTCCCAACTCAACTCAACTGTCTCCTGTAAAATCCAAAATAAGGTGCATATTTTCTTATTTCAAAAGAGACACTTCGCGGCACAGTCGCAATCAGACCAAAGTAAAACCAAAGTTTAGCAGTGGCAATCAAATCCTGCAGGTCTGTGCCCAGTGTCTGGGATTCACTTATGATTTTCTGGGTGCCAAGGCACTTGGCAGCTCCATTTCTCTGGCTCTACTATTTGTAACACATACAGCTTGTCTTATAGACTCAGGCCAGACACAAACCATACCTGCCCCTGTCCTTGGTGGTCATCCCACAGCCCTGAAATTTCCAATAAGATGAGGTCTTCACTGCCACTGAGGCTGGACCTTCAGGGATGACTTCCCAGCTTCTTTCAGGTAGAAGCCGAACCTGTCACGGAGTGCCAGATCTCAGTCCTTTTCTGGGACTCCTGCATCTTTCAGAATCAGTACCATTTGGGAAAGCTCTATACATTTCTTTTCAAACCCTGCTATCAGTTTGCCTAGTCTTGGTCCTCTCTGGACCACAGCTTCCATGGGGTGAACCCGAGGCAATACTTCTCAGCAGACATCATATAAATGATGGTTATCTCTCATTAAGTGCAATTCATTTGTCATGCCCATCTCACCAGTCAGAACCATCTCAGGAAAGCACAGCTTTTGTTTTAGTGGTGCTGAACTTATGCTAATCACAGCTGATTTTTTTTTAGGGGATGAGCAGAAAAACACAGACTCTTAACAGAAAATATTATACAAATTGCTCTGGTAGTATCTTTGAGGGACACTCACCCTCCCTTTGGAAACTTCTCAAGCCAGGTCTCCATCATCTGTATTTTCCTTTATATTCTTTTCCTTCAAGCTCCCACAGAACAGTCCCTTAAGTGTTCAGCACTTAGAGGTGTTTCCAGCCCAAAGGTTAAAGTGTTTCCACAATTCCTCCTCAAGAGAAAAACAACACGGTCACATGCCGTCACGGCAACACTCTATATACTCAGTACCAATTTTTGTGCCCGTTGGTGTTTCTGTTGCTGTGAGAAATACTATCAATGACTGAAAGCAACTTGGGGAGGAATTGGCTTACAGGATATAGTTCATCTTTGAGGGAAGCCAACACAGTAACTAAAGCATGAAGCTGGGGGCAGGGACTGAAGCAGAGGCCATGGAGGAATGCTGTTTACTGGGTATATTAGCTGGTTTCCTGGGTCAACTTGACACAAAGTAGTTGTCAGAGAGGAAGGAAGCTCAATTGAGGAAAATCCTCCATGAGACCCACTTGCAAGGCATTTTCTCAGTTAGTGAGCAATGGGGGAGGGTCCAGTCTATGGTGGGTGGTGCCATCCTGGGCTGGTGGTCCTGGATTCTGTAAGAAAGCAAACTGAGCCAGCCAGGGGAAGCAAGCCAGTAAGAAGCTTTCCTCCATGGCTCCGGCATCAACTCCTGCTTCCAGGTTCAGACCTGCTTAAGCTACTGTTCTGACTTCCTCCAATGATGGACAATGCTCTGAAAGTGTAAGCCAAATAAACCCTTGCTTCCCCAACTTGCTCTTTGGTCATAGTGTTTCATCACAGCAATAGAAACCCTAACTAAGAAAAATTGGTACCAGCATAGTTGGGGTGTTGCTGTGACAGACCTGACCATGCTTTGGGGAGGACTGTGGAAGGATTTTGGAACTTTGGGCTAGATGAGGCATTGAGTTAGGAGCTCTGTGGGATGTTCTGTGGGAACTCGGAAGATAAGAGTGTTGATAGCTACTGCTTTGTCCCACCAGGCTGTCCCTCAGGGGAGGGGGCGAGTAGGCACAGGGCAAAGATTCAGACTCCAGGACACAGGCTGGGTGTAGTAAGCTCAGTTTGTTTTAGGGAGGGGGGAAGCCTTATATCCCCCCCCACCTGTTCAGGGAACAGGAAGCCACAGACTGGCACCCGGTGGCCTTTCGTGGAGGTTGGGGACTGGTTCAAGTCGTCTTATCTCATGGTACTGCAGCTGTTTCTGGGGCCCCTGGACAGGCTCATTTTGGGGAAGTTATCATACTGCATGTTCAGATGGCTTGTTTAGTTCAGTTTTAGTCCAATGAGGTCCTATTGATCCCCAGGCACAGGGGATCCCTTCCCAGATAGCAGTGCAGAAGCTGGAGGCCTGGCTTGTGAAGTTTCAGAGGTGAGTTTAATGACTCTATCAGGGCCATTTGTTATGCTGAATTAAGATTCTGCTCTGCGGTTCTGGTCGGTGAGGGTTGGAGAATCAGCTGTGATGAGCAAGATATCAGAAGTACTTAAGTGAAACTTTGCTTTGCTTGGGGTAGTTGATGCTGGTCAGTTAGAGCTAAGAAATTAACAGTGATTAAGAAGAGACCAGCATCACTGGGATGAAATCTGGGACATGTTTGTTGGGAGCACGGAAAAGTTGTGTTCCAGAGAAGGCCATGGTTGTACCTTGTGTTGGCACCAGGACTTGGTAATGTTTAAGCATCTCCCAGATGGTACTAGTTTGGAAGGCATGAAGGGGTCATGGAGAGCATCTGAGACTTGACTCTGTGAGAGGCCAGGAGAGGCCATTGGTGAAGGTGCAGCCTCAATGGCAGTTGGAGGCCCAGGACTGAAGGGGTCATGCCAAGAAGCTGAGGCTTGGCATCATGAAGAGAGACTATGGGAGGCTATTGTTGAAAGTGCAGCCAAGCTGCAGCAAGGGAGCCTAGCGTTTTGGAGATGCGAGTACCATGGGAAGATCACCAAGAACAACAGCAGCAGTGGAGTGGAGCCAGCCAGAGCCTGGAAGACAAGCCGGGTGTGCTGCAGGGGGCAGAGCTGAAGAAGTGACCCAAGTCCTTTGAAGGAGCCCAGAAGATGGTGAGTAAATACCAGGTAATTGGATATTGAGTTATTTATACTTTTGGAGTTTAGTTTTACTTAGTTTAGAACATGATGGTGCCCTGGTTCTTCCCTCTTGAAGAAAGTATTTAATTTTGATTTTTTTTTTGTTGAGCTTTCAAGACAGGGTTTCTCTGTGTAACAGCCCTTGTTGTCTTGAAACTAGCTCTTGTAGACCAGGTTGGCCTCGAACTCACAGAGTTCGCCTGCCTCTGCCTCCCAAGTACTAAGATTAAATGTGTGCGCCACCACTAGCCAGCTAATTTTGATTTTTCAGGGAGCCCGCAATTGAAAGATTTGA